ACATACACCCCCCACACACACACACGCACTCTCACACACACACACACACACACACACACACACACACACACACACATACACATGCACACACATACACACACACGCGCACTCACACACACACACACGCACACACACACACACACGCACTCACACATCCTCTACTCCGTATACATCAATGCACATAACCATAATAATACAATAGTTTGCTTGCACTCACAGACATGCATAATATAAATGAACTGTAATGGGCAGCCTATCAACAACATGCAAGGTCTTTAGCTTGGTCATTAGTGGTAAGAAAACAGTCATCCTTACCCAAGAAGGTGCAGAGCAGAGCCATATATGGCTGAACGACAAGGAACTTGGGACAGTGGACAAGTTCTGTTACCTGGGGTCTACCATCAGCTCTACTACATCACTTGATTATGAGATCAACATCAGGATAGGGAAAGCAGCAACAACTTTTGGAAGGCTGACAGAACGAGCATGGGAAAACAAAAGATTAACCATAAAAAAGGTCAAGATTTACGAAGCATGTGTCCTCAGCACACTCCTTTATGGATCTGAAACATGGACCTTGTACAGCAGACAAGAAAAGCGCCTCGACATTTTCCATCTCAGGGGCTACCGGAAGATCTTAGGCATTTCGTGGCGTGACAAGGTTACAAGTGTTGAAGTGTTGGCACGGGCAAACCTCCAGAGCATGACAACTGTCCTGTGTTTAAAAAGATTGCGGTGGCTGGGCCATGTCAAGAGAATCGCCGACAACCGGATTCCGAAGCAACTTCTCTCTGGAGAACTTGACCAGGGAAAGAGACAAAGAGGAAGACCAAAATTGAGGTACAAAGACACCTGCAAAAACAGCTTATCTAAGCTTGGAGTAGATGTCAGCATCTGGGAAGAAATAGCTGAGGACTGGAAAACATGGAGGAAAATGATAAAGGAAAGAATTAGAATGCTAGAGAGCAGCCTCAGAAACAACCAGGCTGAGAAGCGCCAACGACGAAAGGAAAACAGCGGAAATACAAAGCTTCGATCTACGTCACTGACATGCAAGCTCTGAGACAGAATCTGCGCTTCAAACATAGGAAGAATTAGCCATGAAAGAAGCTGCATGAAGACAACCTTGAGACCATCTTAAGCTAAATTGACCGTCTGCATAGAGGAAAAGAGACACATATATACTATTAGCAATAATGTGAGTCTTCATAGTGAAATCAGGCGCTCGTCAAAATAAAGAAATCAAAGAAATCTGCATTTTTTCACCCGTTTCACAATTTTCATTGCCTTTTTGGGTTTTTGTTGCTCCAAACCTTTTAGGTCCACTTGAAAACACATTTATAGGTGAAGTTTACTGGAAAAACGTTGATTAAAGGCACAGAAAAGGTAAATCTGCGGTTTTCAAGAGCTCTCAAGATTTGGAAGTCAGGAAACTGTTGCGGCCATTCTCTGGCTAATTCTACCTCTGAAACGTGCCGACCCCACTTCCTTCAATCGCAAATATATAGACTTCTGTTTAGGATACTCGTCGATATTTTAAAAAAATTTAAAGCAAGGCAAATGAAAAAATTTTAAGATGATACCAATGACTCCACCTGCCCAAAAAGTGACGGATTCCAGTGCATCGTGACACATAATATTGTTAAGCTAGATACCTACTCAGTATTCTGATTGTAACTCAATAGTATTCTAATGCATACTCTAAGGTCAAATGAATACTTAAAACCAGATGATTAAGATTTAAGAAGTTTGGTGGTTAGAGGTAAGGATAACTCTGTGTATCTTTCTTTGTTACAGATCTGAAGCCTTGGTCTATTACTTCAGACTGATATTTGTATTTGAGGGAGCAAGAGGTGTTTATTGTTTAAAAAGATGGAATCAAATTTTCTAGTGCAAGCTATAATGTATAATTCATCGAAGTAGGGGAATGTAGATATTGAAATTTTGCATGCTTTCCGTATTATCGATTTCATTTTTCTTTATCTTGTACTCTTGTGTTCCCAGCTCAAGCTGCTACACAGAAATTGATCATACGCTCTGTGGTTGAAGGATAGAATATGGATATCTATGATTAATCAACTTTATAATACAAGATAACAGTCTTTTGTAAACATTTTATAAGCAAAAGAGAAGAGTGGACATGCCAGTCGAGTTTGTTGTCTATTGTAACACCCAAATAATTATAGTCGGACACTTGCTCGATGTTTTCATTTTTAATTTTGAGTTGCTGCAGGGACAACTTCTTTTTTTCTAAAATCAACAACAAGCTCTTTGTTTTTCAAATTTAAAATCAGCTTATGATTTTCACACCACTCAGAAACGTTGAGCACAAAATTCCGGTAAGCAGTTTCGTTTTGGTCAGCCTGTATGGAAACATGTAGTTGAATTATCAGTTAGAAGTTCAAATGAAAGTAAACCAATAGTTTTTACCTTCCTAATGACGGGTTGTTCAGCCACTTGTTTTCATTCTTTTGACCGCAGTACGACTTGAAGACACACAGCACTGCAGCATCTAAGTCGTAGGGCCTATTGACTTATTCTATATGTTGTTTATGGCCGGTTGTCAGTCAGTGTCGGAATATCAAGCGGTCCAGGACATATTTTAGGCTGAAATGCTCTACATGATTTAACAGACAGCAGTAGTATCGACGAAAGGAAAATAACAAAGTGGAGCTTCAAAAAGTATCAAGCGTAATGGAAATATCTGACTGAGACTGTTTTTTCTTTCTCTGTGGGCATTTCAATGTTGTGGTGTGCCCTTGAACCTATAGCGAAGGCCTCCATGTTGTCCCAACTGTTGAAATCTACGAGATAAAACAACTATAACTTTAAGGTCAGCAATATCTTTCTCAGACGTGCACCACACTGCACGCCATAAGATGCCTTTGAACCTATAGCGAAGGCCTCCATGTTGTCCCAACTGTTGAAATCTACGAGATAAAACAACTATAACTTTAAGGTCAGCAATATCTTTCTCAGACGTGCACCACACTGCACGCCATAAGATGGTTTTGAACCTATTACCCCTCCAATTCAAGCCCTACCCCCTAGATCTATTCCAAGCTACAAATTCCTCCATCTGCACCCTTTAACACCCCCCTCCCCACCTCCAAAATGCAAACAACGAAATATTTAAGCAGAAATGGAACCACAATATATTCTGAGTCCAAATAGAACAATGAACCAAGAAAGCTGATGGTGCAAGGTATTTTCTCAAATTATTTTTGAGGTTTCTTGTATTCCTTTCTCCATAAGCCATGATGTCATTTGCATGGTACAGTTATGTCCTGTTGATATGTAACTTTTCGTTTATTTACATTTACATGGTTAGATCTAGATTATATAAAGTTGTTTTTAAACAAAAATAAGAATCCCCAAAACTCGTGTTTTCATTTAGTTATAACATGGGAATTGTTTTTTAAAATACACGCTTGTACTATTGGGTCACAATTTGGGTCACCATCTATCCTGCACCTGAGTGACACCTTTAATATTGTTGTTCTGTTTTACTTTTCTTCTTTGATCAAACACAGCAAAAAAATTGTTCTTTGATCCAGTACCAGGACGATACAGGATCATTCTCATTGTCAAAGTATTTCCAGCATTGTTAGATGAAATTTGAGTGTGTATTATTAACTGACATTTCAGGTAAAAACAACAATGACCAGACGTTGACTTGTCGTTCTGAGTCTTCTCTGGGTCAAGCAGGTCCCTCTGTCTCCAAGACCGTCAAGTTTGCCTGTGAGTGTTCTCAGTTCTTGTGGACTTTGAGATGTTCGGTTACTCTATTTGTCTGTCGTTTCTTAACTTGTTATTGGTTGTCTACAGTGCATTATGAGAACATATCTACACATTTTTTCTGAATCTGTCTTCTCACTAATATACAAAAAAAAAACAACAACACAACAAATTCAGGAAATCAACAAAACTGGGGTCATATTTGATTCATCTTCAACATTTACAGTGTTGTGTAGTATTCTGTAAAACATGAATGCACAAAAACAAGCTGCCACGTGGAAGACAATGCAATAATACAGCTGTACTAATATATGAATATTCTTAAGTGCATTATAAAACAGGAAGAATTACCAAACGTGATCTATAAAGAGTATGGGAGTATGTTATCTTTATCATGAAATACTTTTTATACAGCAAATATTTCCTCCACAATTCAAGTAACTAAATAAAAATGGGACGATGGATGTTAATATTTAGATTTGTATTTTATTTTTTAAAAAATTTTTCCATTCTTACAGATGGACCAAGTAGCGCTACCTTGACCTTCTCACCGACAAACCCGTCCAGTTTGTGTCAAGGCCCCAATCTCAGTGTTGTGTTCACTTGTACTGTTGACCCGCGTACAGTAAACCCTCAGCCAGACTACAAAATCTCCGTGAACGGTGCACCAGTAGGCACATCTGTGCAGCAGATTCTACAGTTACAGGGCGGAGCTCACAACGTCAGATGTCTTGTCGAGAACTCGTTATTTCCCGCTGATCTCTTCACCGATGTCACTCATACGTTTATTGTCAGAGGTTTGGTTTTTACAATTTTCCTAATTCTTCACTTTGTTTTCTGTCGTGAACTTGCTTATCTTTGGGAAAGTCGAAGGTCTGAGATCGTCAAAAAAAGTATCTGTATTTGTTGTTTACTCACACAATTGTTTATTTCGTAATGCACACAACACGAGCACAGCAGTTTTTCTTCTAATCCCTCAGTTCTTGTAGATAGCCTTGTTTCGTTCAATCACTCAGTTTTTGTAGATAATTTTGCTTCTTTTAAGCACTCAGTTTTTGTACATATATTTTTTCCTAATCTCCCAGTCCCTCGGTCCTCAGTACTGGAGAAATCCTGGTGAAGGAAAATGTCACAACTAGAGTGCAGTGTGTGGTCCGAGGGGGATATCCTGCTACAAGTGACGTAAGCCTGAGCTGTCCTAGTTCTCAGGCCGGTAGCTCTGGTGTGAATTCTGTGGTCGTAACTAGGTCACAAGAGACACAATGCTCGTGTACAGCCACTCACGTCAGTGGATGCTACACCAAACGGAGTGACGTCACCATCAAAGCTGCTTGTGAGTCGTGCATGTTTTCTGATCATCTAAACACTTTACAAACGCCATTTACTTATTATCCATTATGAGCAAGAAGTTTTATCGTAAACACGATTAGTGGCACAAATCACTTACGATTTCTGTCTTTTTTTTGTGCATGAGATAGATTTCTCTAGAATTTTCCAACTGCAGTTTGTTTTGAATCGATATTTCTAGTAATTACGTTTCCATATGAATTGTGTATATATATATATATATATATATATATATATATATATATATATATATATATATATATATATATATATATATATATCTATATATATATATATCTATCTATATATATATATCTATCTCTCTCTCTCTCTCTCTCTCTCTCTCGA